CCCTCCAGAATATCCGAGCTCCTCACCCTATCTCTAAGGCTGAGCCCGGCCACCCTACGGAGGAAACTCATTTCGGCCGCTTGTATTCGCGATCTCGTTCTTTCGGTCATTACCCAAAGCTCATGACCATAGGTGAGGATTGGGACGTAGATCGACCGGTAAATCGAGAGCCTGGTTTTCTGGCTCAGCTCCCTATTCACCACGATAGATCGGTTCAGGGTCCGCATCACTGCAGACACCGAACCAATCCGCCTGTCGATCTCCCGATCTGTCCTACCCTCACTCGTGAACAAGACCCCGAGATACTTGAACTCCTCCACTTGAGGTTGGACCTCTCTCCCAACCAGGAGTTGGCAAGCCACCCTTTCCCGGTCGCGAACCATGGTCTCAGATTTGGAGGTGCTGATCCTAATCCCAGCTGCTTCACACTCGGCCGCGGACCTACCCAGCAAGAGCTGAAGGTCAGAGCTGGATGAAGCTAGGAGGACCACATCATCCGCAAAAAGCAGATATGAGATTCTCCTGCCACCAAACTCGACAAACTCCACACCACGGCTGCGCCTAGAAATTCTGTTCATAACCTTTATGGACAGAATTTCTAGGCGCAGCCATGGTGTGAACAGAACCGGTGACAAAGGGCAGCCCTGGTGGAGTCCAACCCTCACCGGGAACAGGTCCGACTTACTACCGGCTATGCGGACCAAACTCACGCTCCTCTGGTGAAGGGACAGAATGGCCCTTAACAAAAGGCCCCCCACCCCATACTCCTGGAGTGTCCCCCACAGGGTGCCCCTGGGGACATGGTCATAAGCCTTCTCTAAACCCACAAAACACATGTGGATTGGTTGGGCAAACTCCCATGCCCCCTCCATCACCCTTGCAAGGGTATAGAGCTGGTCCACAGTTCCACGGCCAGGACGAAAACCACATTGCTCCTCCTCAATCTGAGATTCAACTATCGATTGGACCCTCCTCAACAGTACCTTGGAATAGACCTTTCCAGGGAGGCTGATGAGTGTGATCCCCCTATAGTTGGAACACACCCTCCGGTCACCCTTCTTAAAGATGGGATCCACCACCCCGGTCTGCCACTCCACAAGAACTGCCCCCAATGACCACGTAATGTTACAGAGACGTGTCAACCACGACAGCCCTACAACATCCATAGCCTTGAGATACCCAGGACGAATTTCACCCACCCCCGGGGCTCCGCCGCTGTGTAGTTGTTTGACTACCTCAGCAACTTCTGCTCCCGAGATTGGACAGTCCCGGCTCTGGTTCCTCCTCCGAATGCGCGTAGGTGGGATTGAGGAGCTCCTCAAAGTATTCCTTCCACCGTCCGTCTATAGCCCCAGTTGATGTCAGCAGCTCCCGATCCCCACTGTAAACAGTGTGAGCGAGTTGCTGCCTCCCTTTCCTGAGGCGCCGGACAGTTTGCCAGAACCTCTTTGGAGCCAGTCGATAGTCTTTCTCCATGGCCTCACCAAACTCATCCCACGCCCGAGATTTTGCCTCGGCAACTGCCACTGCTGCACCCCGCTTGGCTATCCGGTACCTGTCTGATGCCTTCCGAGACCCACAGACCAGCCACACCCTGTAGGCTTCCTTCTTCAGCCTGATGGCTCCCCGAACCTCTGGTGTCCACCAGCAGGTATGGGGGTTGCCACCACGACTGGCACCGGCCACCTTGCGACCACAGCTAGCAACAACCGCCTCAACAATCACAGAGTGGAACAAGGCCCACTCGGAGTCGATGTCCCCCACTGCTCTCGGGACGCGGTCAAAGCTCTGCCGGAGGTGGGAGTTGAAGACCGTCTTGACAGATTCTTCTGCCAGGCGTTCCCAGCAGACCCTCACTATGCGTTTGGGTCTGCCAGGTCTACACGGCATCTTCCCCTGCAATCTGATCCAACTCACCACCAGGTGGTGATCAGTTGACAGTTCCGCTCCTCTCTTCACTCGGGCGTCCAAAACATACGCCGCAGGCCAGATGATACGACTACAAAGTCTATCATCGACCTGCGACCTATGACCCAACCAGAATTTGAAATCTGGTCTCCCAGTCCCAGGAAGGACACTCTACCACTAGGCCACTGAGATCCAACAAATTCTGACCAGCCCCACACTTGCATCCTTCTTTGTAGAACCGTAGAAGGCACTATATCAGACACAGACAATTGAAAACATCTTTTCAAGTGTTTATTTTTTCTGATTTGGGATTTTTTCCCAGATCTTTTCAGCACTGAAAACCAGTTTAGCATTAGTGTAAGAAGACGACGCACAGGAGTTGCTGATCAACAACATCAGCAGCTTCTCCGTCAAAACACTTTTAAGCAATAATGAACATAAAAAACGTGCTGCATTGCATCAGCACCTCCATACAGTAGGCATGGATTTATATGCTGCACAAGGCGCTGGTCACATGGAGACATTAAGGCAAACTGAAACATGTTTGAGTAAGTGGGGCTGAGGCATGGTGTTTGTGTGCGCGCATGTGTGTGTGCGTGTGTGTGTGTGTGTGTGTGTGTGTGTGTGTGGGGGGGGGGGGGGGGGTGATGCAACAGGAAAGCAGAAGAAACAAGATGGGTGGGGCTGAGGAGCAAACACTGACTGGAACAGTGCTGTGTGCAGAGCTGGAGCTGGCTGTAGAAAATGGCCTGCAGCTCTGTTTGAGGCATGAGAGTCTATCAGCAGGAGGCTTTAAATTTATAATGAGTGGCTGGAGGGTGAGGGGTGGGCAGAGATGTGTGTAGGTTAATGGTGAAAGGGTTAAATCTTTAGTCTTGATTTTAAATTTGAGCTGCATTTGGTTCAAGGGTCTGAGACGACTGGAGAAAAACAAACTAGTAGATTTAAAACGTGACAAGTTTCTAATCCAAACTTTGTTGTTTTAAGATTATTTAATAAACCAAACTATTTTACTGTTTACAGACATTTTAAATGTTCTTTCCTTTAGATATTACTGTAGCACGACAAGGGTTCTTCTCAGAAACACACTGGATTCTCGTCACACTGATTAAACACAAACTGCAGCTTGATCAACAGGAGAGAAAACAAAATAAAGTTAAGTTCTACTTTGATTTCATCTAATTTAACTGGAACCACAAAACATTTAATGTTTACTTTTATACTTCAAGCTGATCTAAAAATGCACACATGCAGCATTTTCTTTTGAAACGCATCATTGTGGTGAACGTATGAAAGGATGAATACCTGAGGTGCCATTTGATGTCATCCTTCCTGTAAATGCTCCATCTGATATTTCACAAATTCACTTTAGTTGTCTTGTGAAAGACTTGACTTCCTTGGCCAGCAGTCAGTGATGGTAAGTTCTCTTTTATCACAGCCTGTGGTGACTGGAGGGAACATTCTCATAAGGATCTTTGTTTACCAGCCGGGCCAAAACAGCCTTGCAGAACCAGACATTCCACATATTCTCAGTCTGACTGCTCTAACGACTGTGGTCTTAATTTTTGCACCCTGAATTTAAACTTATGTGAACACAAACAAGTTCTGTATGAAATCTTTAACCAGCAGATACAAATGTCTGACAGTGGCGGCTCCATAAATTTTTTTCTGCAGGTGCTATGAAGGAAGTGGTCATGCGTACCTATTGTTCTCTAAAACACCTTCAACACTAGCATATACACATGTGTGCGCAAAACCTCGACAACACCTGAAACAATCATTAATATACATCATAAACATATGAACAATCGCTGACTTTTCCATGAAATTATAAACGCATACAGCCACACAGAAAACCATCTATAGTGTTGCAAGGTTAGCTAACGTTAGCGTTAGCATTTCCGGTGGCAAAACCCTCGACTGCTGCAGCGGTTGAGGGTTGTCTATGGGGTTAGACCCGTGCCAAAACCCGCGTGCACGGGTTTTGGCACGGGTCTAACCCCATAGATGACTCTCTTCATACAGATCCGTAGGCTTTTGTGGGTTTGAGATCACTTCCAAAGATTCATTCGTTTCTGACTGAACCCGTGGAAATTTGGGCAACAAAACCGATCCATTTTACCACTAACTCTACCTTTCACTCGTTCGCAGGTGAAAAATGAGGTCAAAGGTTAACGTTTCCTGTTTTGGTTGAAGTTTTTACTATCTATATGATACTTTACTGATTATTTTTGTTTTGTGTGCTGAATATTATCACATCCACACGTTAAATTAAAATTTAATTGTAAAAAAAAATCTAATATTCACTTGGGGGTGCAATGACTAATCCAGGGTTAGCTATAGTGCCCCCCTAGTGCCCCCCTGGTGCCACCACTGATGTCTGAAGAGGCCTAAACTCACCAGCAGATTTTCAGCTTTTGCGAGGGGACAGGTGTGTCTCATTCTGCTGCGTTTAGAAGATAACTCACCTGTTCTTGCAACTTGAATCTCCTGAGAGCTACTGATATTTATGTTCCAGAGAAAAGACTCATGGAAATTAAGTTCCTGCTGGCCTTTGTGATCATGAGGCTGTGCAGAAAGCAGAAAGAGTAAAGGTGTAACCTGCACTTGTGTTGCACGGTGATCAGCAAACATGTTAAAATAACAACCGTCAGTAAGAACGAGTTTGTTTCCAGGCCCAGTTCACACTTAAATGTCTGAAATAAAAATCTGTTGTTTGCATTCTGTAAATATGAACTTTAAACATTCAAGATCCTGATCATGACTGTTGTTGACTAACCTAGGCTTGGATTAATCGGTTCAGTGCACGGGGTCAAATCAATAAAATAATCTTCACAGTTCAACCATGAAAGGATCTCCTCTTACTGGTTAAGATTACTGAAACGGCGCATAACAATGACGGTTTCTGCCCCAAGAGAACTGGCTTTGTTAGATGTGAAAAAAGGGAACCAGTTAAAAACATTCAACAAAGAAACATTTGTGATGTTGTGTCAAATCACCTATCGAAGTAAAAGAGAACAAGGTCATGGGGTCCATCCTACTGATGTAGATGAGCAGAAAACAAAAATAAAATTTAAAAAGAAAAAGTCAGATTTGTTTCAGTGAAGTTTTCACATTTATAATAAAGTCAAAATAAAATACCCAAAACAAAAATGTCAGCAGTGAGTTTCTCCAGCGACAGACATTTCTGACAACTCTGTGAAGTGTTTGAGTACAACAAACACATTATGTTAACACCACCTTTATTAAACCAGAAGAAAATAAACATTCAAAAAGCACAACAGCCACCTGTTAGCAGCTTATATCAGCATGCATCACTCCAAACATGAGGACGTTTTACAAACCACGTCAAAAGAATCCACTATATACATTTAAACAAGAAAGATTACTGTAATTAAACATTTAATAAACAAGTTAGGACTTATCTGGGTTTATGAAGAGATGCTGCAATCTGCTTTTAAGATGTTAGTTGTTTTAAATAGAGGACCTGCTTAAAAACACGTCTCATAAACCAACGAGTCTGTCGGGTATAAAAACACGTGTGATAACGTAACACCACACAGTGTTAGAAACTAGTCCTTATGCTCATGATGAGGAACCTTCCTTATATAAAAATTATTCACGGAGTTCCACAGAGCTAGGTGCTCGGACCTATGAGCTTCATGTTCTGCTCCCAGATGAGTTTTGACTAGATGGACTGAATTTTCTCTGCTTTACTGATGTTTTATTTATTCAGAAAGCCAAATTAAATGATTTCATTGATTAGCCTACAAAGAAAAAAGTTTCAATTACTTAAATCTCTGTTCAAGTAGAACGATTGTTATCTTTAAACTGGAGCTCATCAGCCTCTCCCTTTAGATGCATGGCAACTTTTGCCTATCGAGACAGACCTTGGAGTGTTTTATGACCAGATCCTGTCCATTCACTGCACCATAAACACATTTCTAGGATTTCTGCTTTTCACCTGCACAATAATACATTACAAATCCAAACATGTGTTATTGTTGTAGGATTAACAAAACACCTAAGGAGCCTTCAGCTGACTTATTTCCTGTCCCTTTAGAGGTACGTTTGTTTAATAGATCCACCTTCAGAATCTTATGGGACACAGCTGCTTGAGGACTTACTTGTTACATGTAACAAACAATTGAAGTTTCACAGAAACCAGCTAATGTGCATCTAACATTTGTGTCTAGGCAACAACAAAACACCTGATTGCAAGTCAGGTATTTTTACCACAAACACAACACCAGATGCTTCACATACGTGACAGGCCTGAACTGATCCTTGGGCATGAGGAACCAATTAAATATTGTTTCTCATCCAAAGTCAAGCCTGAACTGACTCAGAACATTACTGTCGGGGTTTCAAAAAGCCCTGCCGGGCGAGCGTGTTGGCTGTGGAGCCAACTCTGAGCTGCATACTCTGGCTCCCCTGAGAGACAGAAAACAAAAGTCATCAAGAGACAAAAGAATCTCGTGTTTCTGTAAAAACAAACTAGAGTGTTGAGCTGCAGAAAGTATGAAGATAAAAGGTTAGTAACAGTATTTAATGGTGCTTTAAATGTGTTGGCCTTTCAGTCGGGCTAAAGAGAGATCAGCTATTACCGGGCCCGCTGTAGGTAAGCTTTAAGGGTAATAAATACAGGTAACTTTGTTTAATTTGAGGTTAGAACACTTTTAAGATGGTAGAACATCTACTTCTGACTAGCTATTAGCTTGTTAATCCTGAACTTTGACCAAACCATGATAAAAAGCTGTGTGTTTTAAATGCAGTAATTTGTGAGTCACTTAGTGATAAGAAACTGTCGGTACCTGTTACAGACAGGGCAGCTGTGGTATGCAGGTAGCTGTCTATCTGCAGCAGACACTCCAGGGTTTCCACCATGTGCTGCTGACGCAGCGTGCGAAGTCTGCTGTGATCCTGGGAGAAGCTTTCTCCTGCACTCACACTGGCCTTCAGAGCTGCAGCAGCACACTGCAGGACGCTCATTCCTGAGAACACAGTCAGTTCAGTTCCGACTCCTAATCTACATGTCAGCCCATGCTTTTAATTAATCCATTACATTAAAGTAAAAATGGTCAAAACCTACCAGAGTTATCAGTGGCATCAACATCAACGTACACACCATCCATTAATGCTTGTTTCAGAACCTAAAGGTTAGATGAAAACCACACGGGTAACAATCACTGTTATTTCAACATTTAAGGGATTCAAAGGGTCAGAATTGAAATCAAAGACAAAAACAAATCTCTATCAGCCTGAAAAATTCACTTGAAGAGGAAAACCAAGGCAGAATGACTTAAACGTGGCCTAAATCCAACAGTTCTACCGAAACACGCCCCTTATCTGGGCTCTACGTGGTCCTAAAGCAGATAAACACTTAACCAAATTGTTGAGTTTGGAATGCAACCCCTCCTTCCTCATTTCTTCTTCTATGGTTCCTTTTCTCTGAATGTCTCCCTTCCTCCCGCGCCCGCGTTGTTAATCTGTCATGTCCATCCTAATGTAACCTGTTACAACCCTAACCAAACGCAAGTCAGGAGGCTGCTGGCTCCACATTCTGATGCTTTTTAAAGTACCTTCAGTCTAAATGGTAAAACCAAGCTTTAAATGCGACACAAGCTCTGATTCTGCACCACCAGAAGCAGCAAAACAATCCTCTGATGTGTGTTTCATTCTGCTGTATGTGGTACCGTGTGGGTCACTTCAGACTGGGCACACTGGTGCCTGGTGGAAGTTTAATTCAAATTAGAAGAAACATCTAACCTCCACCCCCAGTGTGTTTGAGCTCCAGTGCATTAAGAGACCCTGACACAGGTCAGAGCCACACCAGAGTCAATGACGTGCAGGCACGGGTGGCGAGGTTGTCTCTCTCTATGTGATTTGTGAAGTTAAAGGGAGACACTGGATCTTAATTCCACCGTCGTGGAAGTTAAACGTAGGACAGCAGCAGAAGGAGCCGTCTGCGACAAAGTTTAAGTCACTGAACCCTGCTCTCACTCTGTTGGCAGCATTTCTCACATCAACTTGATTCTAGCAGCTTTAGTAAACAGCGTCAGTTATTAATGCAACACCAGCCGTGCCACTGTGCAGCAGGACTTGTGCCAGGGAGGGAGCAGTGTAATAACAGCCTGCTTTCATAACGAAGACACATTCCTAAAACAGTCAGTCATCACATCCAGGCTGATGATTGAGCTGGAAAAAATACTTGGCTGTGCATGCAACAAGTCTTTCTCATGTATTTGTTTCGGAATGAATGGAATTAACTTTTGCACAATATTCTCACTTTTGAGTTTCACCTGTGTGTGAGATCAGCACCTCATAACCATAGTGAGTGAGTGAGTGAGTGAGTGAGTGAGTGATTGAGTGAGTGAGTGAGTGAGTGATGCGGCTGAATCCATGCCTGTGTAAATGAATGAATAATAAAGAACTGTTGTTTCCACTAAGCTGTGATTTGGACTCATAAACCAACTGAACTACAACTCAAACACCTCGTTGCCTTCAAACTGGTTGACATCAAAAGCATCCCGACCCAGAACGTTCAGGTGATGCGTGCACCAGGAATGGATGGGAACTGAATTACCTGCTGCATGCCAAATAAATCACTCGTTGAACTGATGAAAAGATTAAAGGCTCCACACGACACCCAGAGTTACAGCTGACCGTGCGCTGTAAAGCGGCCATGTCACATTTTTTCCAGATGTGTTCATCAGAGTTCTCTAAGAGCTGGCATGTTTGTAAACTAAATTCTCGTTCCAACGAAGTGTTGATTTGAACTAGAAACCATTTACAAGTGTTCCATGAGTCAGAGGGAAAATCATCGTGGGGCAGCAGTAGCTCAACAGGTTGAGTGGGTTGTCCAGTAATCGGAAAGATGCAGGTTCGATCCCGGCTCCGGACAGAGAATTCTGCTGTTGTGTCCTTGGGCAAGACACTTAACCCACGTTGCCTGCTGGTGGTGGTCGGAGGGACCGGTGGCGCCTGTGCTCGGCAGCCTCGCTTCTGTCAGTGATCCCCAGGGCAGCTGTGGCTACATCGTAGCTCATCACCATCAGTGTGTGAATAGATGAATGATACACTGTAGTGTAAAGCGCTTTGGAGTCCTTACTCTGAGAGGCGCCATACAAGTGCGGGTCATTTATCATTATCATTATCGTGTATTGTTTGCGGCATCAGACTGGAAAAGCTGCCCACGTTTAGAGAAAAGAGTGCTGACCTCCAAGATTCTGATGTAGCCGTTCTCAGCGCTCAGATGGAGACAGGACTTTCCTGAGTTGTTCCTTTCATTGATGTTTGCTCCCAAATGGATCAAATCTGCCACCATGAGGTGTTGGTTGTGCTTCGCTGCGTAGAGAAGGGCGGTCTAGGACAGGGAGACAAGAACTAACAACTACATGCCAACACGTGAGTAAAAGGTGTTTAAAGATGGATGCACGGACACACACACACACACACACACACACACACACACACACACACACACACACACACACACACACACACACACCAGCACCAGATAGACCACCAAACCAAGTGTACCAAAGATTTTCCGTGTCATTTTCAGTTTAGAGTAATAATCCTGATGTTGTTGTGGCCCAGTAAAGGTCATGAATGTGTGTGTGTGTGTGTGTGTGTGTGTGTGTGTGTGTGTGTGTGTGTGTGTGTGTGTGTGTGTGTGTGTGTGTGTGTGTGTGTGTGTGTGTGTGTGTGAATGACTACTTGTGTTGTAAAGCACCTTGGGGGGTTCCAAGACTCTAGAAGGCGCTTTATCAAATACAGATTTTACTGTTTTAAATGACACCATGTTAAATGTTCACGTTTACCAGCCAACAGGACCTGCGGAGAGCGGAGCTGCTTGTACGAGTGTTTAGACCGTGAGTAATACTCACACGTCTTACAGGCTCAAAACAGCCTCTGTGAACTCTGAATTTTTTTTTTTACAAGAAAAGCAATGAACAAGCTAATTCGTTTGTTGTGTAGCTTTTAAATACACAAATGTCTTTTTCCAGCCTGGTGGTTGTGGTTCCTAGGCCCTACCAAAAAGTGTGTATCCATTTGTTCACTTCAATGAAAAGTTATATTGCATAAAGCCTGAAAGAAGAGATGAAGCTGAGAGAAAAGTCATATGAAGTCTTTTAACAGAGAGCACACAACAAAACCTTTAGTTCACACGAAACAAAAGATTTAAATCTAAACTGAACTAAAAACATGTCTTTTGCAGAGGAAAGTCGTGGAAATCCACACCAAAACAACAATTAATAATAACTGTTAAAATAACCCAAAAGTGACAGTTGTTAAAACTCATCTGAACGTTTGGTACAAAATGAGAATTTTAGCAAGATGCCAACTCTCCAGGTGTGGAAAAATCACCACTTCACGATAAACAGTCGAGCAGATTCAAGTGAAAATATGAGTGCATGTGGGTTGTCTGGAAGAAAAGATCAGCCACCATTAAACTCCTGAAAGTGATGGATGCAGGTAGTTTAATCCTTGATTCAAGTCAAAGGCCAAGAGGTCAGTTTTCTGTGTTTTAGAAGTCTTGTGTCAAAATATTTAAACAGATAATTTACTCATTTTTAAAATATCCAGAACAGTCAGCAGCATCACCCTGTCTCTCTCTCTCTCTCCCTCTGTGTGTGTGTGTGTGTGTGTGTGTGTGTGTGTGTGTGTGTGTGTGTGTGTGTGTGTGTAACTGTACCATTCCCTCAGTGTCTTTAAGGTCCAGGCTGTTGAGTGCTACCATTCTTTTGGCGATGGCGTAAGCCAATGCCCTTTTTCCAATACACACCACTTCATGCAGAAGTCTGCAAAGAGAAGCATGACATGTAGAAAAAGAAAACACCGTCCCACCGTTAACTTCATTAGATATGAAGGACAAAAGCACAGAAGCAAAGTGAGAGAGAACAGGTTAGAAGCATCTCAGCTGTGCTGACAAACATCAGGGCAGCTGCTACGCTAAAACGGATTTCCATGGTGATGTGACACCTACGCTCCAGACGGACGACGTTTATATCCTCTCTGGTCTGAGAATGCTCCCAGAAAGAGCTGAACTGTTGGAGAGGAGAGGGCTGTCTGGGTTTCCATCTAGGATTTATTACCTCTGCATCTAAACCTTCTAAGCTGTGGGCAAAAGCTGGACAATGGAGGAAATGCATGTAAAGGTTTTTGTGTGTAGTTTTGCTGACAATGCGTAAGATTTAATGACGTAATGACAAAAGCGGTTCTTTGGGGCTTTTCTACCCAACCGAATAAAACTCTGTATTTGCTTAAATTCGAGAAATGGACAACATCTCAGGACGCTACAACAGGAACATGCAGGGGAACCCGTCCCACCCAAAAAGTGACAACACGGCAACTCTGTGAGAACCGAGAAATGTTGGAAGAAGTCAAAACAACAATTTTCCAGATTAAATCCCAATTTTAACCTTTTTTTTCCACATTTTCTTTTTGACTAAGGAATCATGAATAGTGATGTAATGTGATGTAATTAGTGCACGGTAACTCCTCATCCACTCCACATCCGTTTCTACTTTTACATCAGCAGCAAACTTACGTCCTGCCATGTCCATCGGTGGCTAGAAGCTCTGCGTCAGAGGTTGCCCTCAGCTGGCTCTCCTCTTTCTGCAGCTGAGTCCAAAAGAAATCACAGCTGTTCTGGTCCCACTGTTTGTCCTGAGGCTCAAACCACATGTCTCCACTTTCATCACTGGAGGGCTGGAAGCTGGCAAAGCTGCAGTCAGAGGGCAGGTGGTGCTCTGCAATGCCCAGAGAGTACGACATGTAGGAATCTGGGCTGGGAATGATTTCATCATATTCATCCCCGTGACCTGCATCCAGGGGGAAATGTGGAATAAGCTGTTGGTCATTGAGATAACATCAGGAGCTTGTGACCGGCTCTACAGGAGTTACCAGATGGAGATGACTCGGGATTCTCCAGGAAGCTGGCTGTGGGTGGATTTTGGGATGAGAAGGGGAAGCTGTTATTTCTGAGATCTTCCTCCAGCACCTCTATAAGGATTGCGAGTTCCTCCTGGCTTTTCATCGAACACTGTACCAAAACAACATTTACATCTAAGTATTCCAACAACTTCCCGTAGGAACAGCTGGGATGGATGCTCACCTTTATGACTTTGTTTCTGGAGCGCGTTCTTGCTCGCTGCAGGTTTCCTGTGGGAAAGAAAATCCACTCAGCCTGAGACCACACAGCAGGACCGGCCACAAACCAAGGCCCAAACCCTGAAGCCCTTCTCGTCCACCCGACAGCACAAGGGCCCAGATTGGAAACGAATGCACTCACTGAGAAAGGTTCGATAGGTTTCTTCATAGGTGTGCTTTTAATAAGGAATATAAAAAAACGCAGCTAAATTTGATATAAAATCTAAGAATTACTTAGTAAAATATCTGTATGCACTCATGGATAAAAAGTAATTAATTCATGTTCAGTTTCGCAGCCCTTAAAATCTCCAGTCACTAAAGCATACGCCATTTTATTTCTACAGACTTCTATTGATCAGGTCTGAGCAGCTTCAGGAAGAACAACTCAGCTTCTACTCACCCGATTTTCCCTTACGGCCTCTCTCCTGCCAGCCAACGTCATGTTTCATGGTAAAAAAAAGAAAAGAAAAGGATGTCGTGTCACTGCTAGTAGTCTTATGAACTCTATTGGAGACACATGATATTGAGAGACTTTGAAAAAATCAGTGTACATGAAAGCATCAAGCAGCAGATCTTCAAACTGAGGCTGAAAAGCAGTGAGTTCAGGAGGAGGCAGGCAATAGAGCCATGTTCACATTCATGAAAATTCTTGTCCCAAAGAAACAGGAAAACCAACAAATCCAGGATGGACTCAAGTGAAGCAGAGAATGTTTCTCTGGTGGGAGAAAAAAGCCAAAACTTTCAATCACGTGAGAAAACCCTGATGACACACACCTTTAAATCTGGTTTGTCTTGACCCTGGGAGAGCCGGATGGTCTTCAGCAGATCCTTTACTGGCTTTCTGACGCGAACACCGACGTAGACCTTCTCACCGCCATAAACAGAACATCTGGAACCTGTAGAAAAACCGTGAGAGAAGCTCTGGGCCCAAACAGTTCCCATCATCCCCTGCTTTTAGCTTTCACAGCTCAGGTCATGTTAATCCAACGCCAAAGCTAAAGAATTCAGACTCATGTACAGCTCTGATTCTTTTGATCCTCCTGAGTTTGGACGCGTGGAACCTCAAATAAACAATAAAAAGTGTTTCTGAGCAATTACTTGAACCTATAAACATTTTCAAAAGGAAATAGATACAAATACATTTACAAAGCAGATCTGAGCAGACTTCTATCCTCATTCTCTTACGTTTATTCTGCCCGCCGCCACCGTCTCTGACGGACTCTTGGTCTGTCTCGGCTGAACGTTCCTCCTGCAGCAGAGCGCAGAGCCCAGATCCTGGAGGATCCTTAAGGTTGCACCGTCCTCTCATCTCCCACAGCTACAAGAAGTGAACGTTTCACATCAGCAGAGGTCTAACACAAGTTAGCTCAAAAGGGAAGAGGCCAAACAGCTGGCTGAAAAGATTCTTGTCCCCAGATTTGTCTGGGAAATGCCTCAGCAGCAGGAGCCCGAGTGTACCTGCCCTGCTGCAGCCAATCAGGAAGCAGGCAGCAGTTTGTAACACGACACCACCAGGTGCGTGAGAGGACAGAGGCGTTTGCTGTCGGTTTAGTTTTCCTTCAGGTTACAGATTTAAGTAAACGTCAGCGACAAACAACCGGAGAAAGAAAACACACCAAAGATCACATTAATGAGAGGCAAGCATTAAAAGCTGCTGCACAACGTTTGACATTTAAGATCTACGATGAACAAAGCTAACTGAGTAAGACGGATAAAATGTGAGAACCTTTGCAAAAGTCTACTGCTTTTGTTGATTTTTTGTTTGGTGTTTGCTGTGATCAGGCGGTGGCGTCCTGCACCAAGAAGAAACACGTTGTTGCATTTAAGTAAATATTAAAATAATCCTGAAACCACTGAGCTTCCATAGGTTTATTTAGAAAATCCTGTGAAAAAAGAAAGAAAGAAAAGAAAATGCTGTATTGTTCTAAGTTTTCTGAGGCTTAGACCAAGTTGTCTTGAGACGTAACGTGCCCGTTGGGCGTTGCAACTTGTTTCTCCAGTTCAGGGGGATTTTTTTACTTTTAGCATTAAGTCAACAATAAGACGAACGATGTTCCAACAGACAAACATGTTCATAAACACATCACTAGAGACTCATCAACAGCAGCAGAATGTCCAAATGTTCACCTGGAGCAACAACACATTGCTGCAAATGGTGGAGCAGGGCAGCACTGTAGCCTCAGAGCTAATTAAAATTCAAAGATACTTAATTAATCCCAGAGGGAAATTAGAGTTTCAGTACACACAATTCAGAGATCAGACATACATGGGCAAGACACATGACAAGAATTGGTGACTGAGGTCATTTGCAACCCTGAGTCGCGCTACCTTAATAGAGATCAGAGGGTTTCATGAGGATTGGTTCAGGTGGAGGGAAAAAAAGCACTTCAGAGTTACCCTTCACCAGGAGGGCAGCTTTGCTCTGCAAAAAACAAACAAACAAAAAACACCTCAGACAGATATGGAACAGACTTCAGACATCACACAACATGAGTGTCCACTAGGTGGGGTGGTGGGTTTGGGACTATCCACACTTCGGTTCCTGCAGCCACTACAAGCAGCCCGTGTCACCTCCGTCTGAACAAGGGGCAGGAGCATTGAGGGTTGGAGGGTTGCAGTGACCCTGGAACGTTTAAGCGACCTTCCCGCAGTCCCGCCCAGGCTGGGATAGGAGACAGAGTTGAGTTGCCACAGTGACGGCACATTCCATATGTCTTCTGAGGGGGGAGTTTTCATTGGAGCCTTGCTGGCTCAAGGGCGCCAGATTCCAATTAGAACTTGTTTTGGGGCCAGACAGAGATAATTTCCTCTCTGTCTTACAGTTTGTTGGTCCTCAGCCTCTCAAAATCCCCATAATGGACATTAATCTATCCCAATCCGTGCTGATTTGTCGACTCTGTCCTTGATGGCGTCCATCTTTTGTGCCAATGAATGAATTTCGGCCAAAGTTCCAAGCTTACGATTCATCTCGACAATTATGTGAGTCTGTGAATTCACAGCACGGTGCAAAGCATCTCTGAGCTCCGGGAGCAAGCCAATATTATTCCACAGCTCGTTAATTTTCCGGTAAGCCAGGAAGCCTCCGAGGCCAATGAGCAGGAAACCTGACACCTACACCACAAATATCCACACGTCTTCAGAGTCCTCCACAGACAGCTGAGATAAACAAATCAAGTTCCACTGTTTCCAGGAGTCCATGATGTGTCCAACTGGGTCTGTCCCGGAGGGGCATCTGGGAGCCCCTTCTCCCGTTCTCATCATTGAAAAAATTGTATCAATAACTTTGAGTGACCAACTGACGAGATCCATTTGAGTGATTTCAGTTTCCAATTTCCAGAAAAAATGCAGAAGCAGCCGTGCACCCAGCACACAGAGTCAGACAAAGGGCCTTGAGGATAAGATATGTAGGAGAGGAGGAAAAAAGCGTCTGCACCCTCCGAGAGCCAGAAGAAGGAAGGTTCGAAACCCATCTGTGGCCTTTCTGCATGTGGGTTTTCTCCAGGTAATGGACTGTGAACTGGTCTGGTGTCCGCTGCCTCTTGCCTGGTTCCTGAAAAGCTCTATTGAGGTGTAGACCAGGTCACATTGGAGATCAGACATATGGTTAACTGCGTCTAATCATGTCTCAGATTGCTTGTTTTTTCCACTTGCACTGTGTAATTATTATGTTTTGCTCTTTCACTTTTTTTTCAGAAGAAACATTCAATTAACAAAAAAAAAAAGAATTAAATCAATTTGTTGCATGTTAATATTGCAGAATATGCAGGGA